CCGATTTTAAATTTATTACATTTTTTCTGATGTGATCTAAATTGCAACTATTTTATGTAAAAAATTGTGATATGAAGGTCACAATTTTATACATTTTATACATTTTCGGTTTTGGAACAATTAGATTGTCGTGTCCAAGGGATGGAATTGTGGACGCTGTGGGATATTGTCTAGTGTTGTCATTCTAGTCTCTCAATATTTCGGAATTTAATGAAATTCGTTTGGTTTTACATAACTTTATTCGTTACTTGGTCGATTTAAGAGACTATGCTCATCATATTAAAGTTTTACTAAGACTCTATTGGTCTTTAATGGTTTTACTGAGACTTTATTCGTCTTTAGAGGTTTTACTGAGTCTTTATTCGTCTTTAAAGGTTTTACTGAAATGGATTCTAAATACTTATTCTACTTACAAAGTTAATTCTTATTAATACGGGATGGGAGTTGTGATTGGGAGTAGGGCTTGTATATATTGATGATTAAGCGTTCACATGGGATTCGGCCTTTGTGGTTTTATTTATTAAAAGACCGGGACAAAATCCTATGCATTTGTTTATATGAAAAAAATGATTGATTACGATTGTATGTGTAAGGATCATTATGTGTTTATAATAAGGACTTGAATTTGGAGTAAAGGTATAGGAGTATCGATGCGAATGTATACGCTTGGTCCCCTTTGTTTATATTAAAGTGTATCGAATCGAGATCACGGTGGAGATTTATTCATGCTGATGTATATGTTAATAATAATAGTTTGTTAATGCACTATATTGATAAGAACAATTATAATTATCATAAGATTTACGAACAAACTTTAGTAAATTATGTTCGACAACTGATTTTTAATTTGTTGGTTGACTGTCGTTTTGTAGATTAACTTCAGCAGTATATTGATGCTCTGCGATTCCACTATTTCCATTCACAGTGAATCTGCTGCTATCCTTAACACTGTTATTCTCCATCGACTTGACTGAAGATCCTTAAACTGAACCTCATTAATTTCACTGTCCATCTGTGATGAACGATGGCCCTATTGCTGCAAGCACCGAGCGGGCGCACAAAGGGCTTGACCAGGATTTGAACCTGCACCCTCTAGCTCGTGGGTAGGGCGACTTAACCATTCGGCAATTAGTCGCCCTAAGACTTTATTTAAATAGAACTATTTGAAAAAAAAATATAGTAGTTTTACATGTAGTTAATATATGTGCATGTTAATTAAACTTTTAACTTGACACATGAATGATCAAGACTGCAATAAATTAAACTTCAGTTTAGTTTAGTAAAAACCTATTCATTAATTACATTTAAACGGCTCCGATTTAGAAAACGAATATCTTAAAGCGCTCTCAAGTTGAAACGATTCTCGCGTTTAAATTGGAAAATGGAAATTCCAAAGTCTTTAATTACAATTAGGCTTTTAAGAAAATGCCAAGGATGACTGAGGATGGTGCAGTGCGTTTTATGGAAATGCAACAGAACAAAAGAGGTATTTTTTTCTATTATTTTCCTTTACAAAAGGAGAATGAAACAAACGAATAGAACATTCCCACAACCCTAAGATTGGCAAAGGGAAAACGCGCGTTTTCTTCCTGGCAGTTTGGGGATGCGGATTTAATTAGGCGGTTATTTGAAGCTTCGTTTTTCGTTGTGCACGTAATATTATCGAGAGGGTGAATTCTAATTGGATTTTAACAACTGCAATTCGGAGCGTTGTATGCGTTCATTTTAATTGCGAAATCACAGCTTCTTTAATTATTTCGCATTTCATTTTCATTGCGCGCAAATCCTTCGCTCTGATTACTGATTCTGTATTACTTTAAAGGATTTTTTTTTGTTTATTTACAAGAAATGAATATGAAAATATATAGTCATTTCAATTATTCATTTAGTTTTTTAACTATACTTTTTCAACCAGGAATTAATTATACATTTGTAAAACAAATATTGTTACTAAAATTTTAAATTAATATAATAAAAAATAAAATAATATAATTGAAAGTTATAAATATCACAATTATCTCATAAAAAATATTTTTATATTTTTCATATTTGTTATTTTAAATTACAGCATATCTAAACGTCTAAATCCTCCAAGACTGTGTAACAAGTATACTAACTGGAAATACTTCAGAGAATGCCTTGATCAATCAATCTCAAGGAACATGAGTCTGAAATCCAAAGAGAAACTGAAAGACGCAGTACAAAAGCTAATCACTTCTACACAAAACGCTGCCTGGAGTGCTATACCTACCACAGCAACGAACAACTATGATCTTTAATGCAATTCTTCGACTTGGATGCTTCCCGAACCAGTGGAAGTTTGCCCAGATCATACTAATTCCTAAACCTGGAAAACCAGCTGAAATGCCTGCCTCCTACTGACCCACCACTCTCCCGCCGATTATGGCGTAGACTGAGGCCCTGGTTGATGGAAAATAACATCATTCCGGATCACCAATTTGGCTTTCGCGAGCAGCATGGTACTGTTCAGCAGATACACAGGGTAGTAGACGTGATTGGTAGAAGCTTGGAGGAGAAAAACTACTGCTCCGTCGCTTTTCTTGACATCTCCCAGGCCTTTGACAGAGTGTGGCATGAAGGACTGCTCTTAAAACTGAAAAGATGCCTCTCAAGCCCATACTTCGACATATTCCGCTCATAAGTAACGGGAAGACACTTCCAGGTTAAGCTGAATGAGGAGTTAAATTCCTTACAATCCATTTTCTTCGGTGTTCCTCAGGGTAGTGTTTCAGGGCCTTACTATACTTGCTATTCACTGCAGATTTGCCGACATCGCAGATTTGCCGACAACGTTACGGTGGCTACTTTCGCCGACGACATCGTAATTCTTGCTCCACACGGCAACTCAACAACTGTTTCATAACTGCTCCAATCAAGCTTGAATAACATCCAAAATAAAAAACAAAATATTCTTCTAGTTTTATGGATTATAAAAGTTCAATTGAATATAAAATCTTCCAAACAATATTGCAAAATTAAATAAGCGGTAATATCAAATTACAAAGTTGGATCCTACCGATAATAATGACATTTACACACGTGAATGTTACTAATGATTCTCTCTGTGTGTCGATTAAAATGATAAATGTGTGTTTAGTGTGTAGTAAGTGAGGATTAAGAGAAAAAGTGACGTTAAAGATATATCAAAACAGATCGCTTGACGTAAGAAGCTTGTCAATAATTTCGTATGTGTTCGGTTATATTCGATACAATTCGGTTAGGCACGTCAACTTCTAAAAGTTCAATTGAATATGGAATCTTCCAAACAATATTGCAAAATTAAATAAGCGGTAATATCAAATTACAAAGTTGGCAATTCTACCGATAATAATGCCATTTACACACGTACACGTTACTAATTATTCTCTCTGTGTGTCGATTAAAATGCCAAATGTGTGTTTAGTGTGTAGTAAGTGTGGTTTAAGAGAAAAAGTGACGTTAAAGATATCACAAAACAGATCGCTTAACATAATAAGCTTGTCAATAATTTCGTATTTTTTCGATTATATTCGATACAATATATATATATAAATATGAGAATTGAAAATCAGTATCATTTTTTTAATTAAGTTGGCTATAACTCCACTAAAAATGTGACTACAAATAAAAACATGATAATGATAAAAAAATATAAGAATCAAATCAGTCATACTTTCGTATGTGTTCGGCTAGATTCGATAGAATATTGTTAGATACGGCCATTTATAAAACGAACTGAATATAGTGACATATATTCGTGTTGGTTCAAAAATATATTAAAAAAAAACAATATGACAATAGAATACCAAATGCTTTGCGCAAATTTGAAGACAGTAACATGTATATCAATTATATGTTATGTTCTATTATTTGGCTAATACATTTTTGTTATTATCATAAGCAAATATGTTAAAATTTTATTTTAAAGTGCCAGTCGCCGAGTTGTCGCGTATCCACTAGAATCAAATCAGTCACTATTTGATTATCAGTTTATTATTTGTATTCGGTTATATTCTGTTTAATTCGGATAGATGCAGTGAAAATATTTTGTTTTTTTTTTTGTTGAGTAAAATTTAATAATTTCAGAGAAAATTGTTTCAAACTTTTAATTTTTATTACCTTTACTATATGCTTACTATGCTGTTTCTTATTTTACTAATTTAAATTCGATTTTTTTTTTGTAAAATATGTCGCAAATTTCAGCTAATTGTATACGTTTTTTTTTAAATTTATATATTTATTTAATTTTATATTTACAATTAATAAACAGAAACATTGCTCGTACTATTTTATTTAGAAATAAAACAGTGCTCAAAATAATTAAAATAAAATTTGGTTTTCAAATAGGTCAAAGAGTTAATGTTAGGCGCCGAACAAAATTAAGCAACTATTAACAAATAAAAATTGTTACATGAATATATTCAAATTCAGTTTTTGAACTATTCCATTAATAAATAAAAATTCACTAAAATTTATAAAGCTGATTCATATTTAGTAACTCTATATGAGGATTTACTGAAGATAGAATTGTTTGTTTTCGGGGTTTATCATTTTATTTTCTTTATATTTAGATCTTTTGATTTATATGAAAATACTTTGTGAATACTTCGTTTGTATGAATTTATTAGAATATAAACATTAATTAATCTATTAAAAATGAAAGCAGTAATTTTATTTGTGCAAAAAAATTTAAAAAAATGTTTCTGTATATACAATATTAAAAATAATCACAAACAATAAAATTAATAAAAATATATGTATATATACTTTAGAGAATCTTAGAAGAGACAACGTTAGTATATATATCACTTTCTTTATTCACAAAATTTCTAATCATTTTTTAATAACAATTCTCCCAGGCAACGGCCGGGGATCACTAATAAGCAAAAAAATCTGAAAAAAGGAGCGAACATTATTGTACATGCTAACGCGGTTTTGCCGGAGAGTGAGCACCACAGTACCCTCTGCTAGTAATTTGATCTTATAGATTAAATACAAAATTATGAACCTCCCGCTTGAAACCTATCGCCGAACCGAACTCTTCGGCCAGATCGAGTCGTCGTTCCTTGGACTATTGGTATTACATTTGAATTTATTTTTTCCGACGATGTGTATGGTGACGGTGGTGATGTTGATAGCGTTATGGTTAATAATTCCTCTTGAACGCTGTGTGGTGGTGGTAGTACAGGTGATCGTTGTTGTGTCTGAGTCCTTGGGACAAATATCAATGGTTGTGGTTGAATTTGTACTGAAAAATCCATGTCGACGTTTAACTCATACGTTGGTTTTAACCTGTCTATGCTGACCTTGACATGTCGGCCGTTGATGTCCATCACGGAAGTTTTTTCACCACGTCTTATAACTTTGAACGGACCATCATACGAATCCTGTAATAATTTCTTTGGAGCGTCGTGTCGAACGAATACGTGTTCCGCTGTTAGTAGGTCTTTGTATACAAAAAGCTTTCTTTTCCCGTGCGATATGATGGCCGCTGGCCTTAGATTTTCGAAACAACTTCGTAGCTGTCTACAGTAGTCCGCCATCTCTGCCGACGACTCCAAATCCTCTCGCCAAGCCGTTCGTATATCCAGGAGAACAGTTGGAAGTGTCTCCGTCCACCTAGCGTTGTCATAACATTTGATCGCCGCCTTTAATTGTCGGTGGAAGCGTTCCACCATTTCGTTAGCCTGAGGACGATATGCCGTTGTTCTGAGATGGGTCGCGCCGGCCAGTACACATAAATGCTCAAACAAACTAGATTCAAACTGACGGCTTTGGTCGGTGGTAATCTTGAGTGGTGTTCCGAAACGGGCGATCCAACCCGAGTAGAAGGCACGAGTGACAGTGGCTGCTTCCTGGTCCTCCATTGGTATTACTTACGGCCAGCGTGTAAACCGATCAACACTACAATATCGGTAACCTTCGGAAAATGGCATAATAATAATGTCGATGTGGCATGTTCGAACCTCTTCGACGGGGATGTGAAGGTACCTCGTGGACTGACAACATGCGGGAGACCTTACACTTCTAGTACTGCACACATGCCTGAGTCCACTTCTGCACGTTGGACTTGCACCTGGGCCACACGTAGCGTTGCGTCACCAGCTTAACCGATGCTTTAACGCCGGGATGCGATAGTTGATGAAGCGAATCAAAAACCGCTCTTCGGAAAGCAGACGTAACGAAAGGTCGGGCTGTTGCTGTTTTTATGTCACAAACCAGATAGGTGGCTTCTCCTGGGATACGAACTCGCTGAAGCTGCAGGCCATTGTCCGTTCGCATGAATTCTTACAGCTCCGGATATTCCTCGACTCTGAAGAGGGCATCCGCGACGATATTGTCTATTCCAGACACGTGCCGAATGTCGGTTGAAAACTGGCCGATGTATTCCAGGTGCCGAAATTGCCTGGGTGAGCACTTGTCCAAATCCAGATTGTGCAACACCTCGTCCATGAATCTCTGAACCGTTTGAGCCGCGTTTCGTAGTCGGAAGGTCATGTACAGGAACTCAAATAGCTCAAAAGGCGTTGTAATTGCTGTTTTTGCGATGTCCTCCTCCGCGACACGGATCTTATTTAAGCCCACACCAGATCCAGCTTTGAAAATACCGACTTTCCTCGCAGCGAGTGTGCGAAATCTTCTATATGCGGCAAGGAAATCGGTTGGGAATGGTTCGTGCGTTTAGCGCTCTATAGTCGCCACAAGGTCTCCACTCATCTCCATTCTTCGGCACCATGTGAAGCGGGGCCGCCCAAGAACTCTTTGAACTCCTCGCGATACCTAGGCGCAACATCTTTGCAAATTCTGCCTTGGCACGCCTTAACTTGTCGGGGGCTAAACGCCTTGGTCTGCTGAAAGCTGGAGGTCCTGGAGTAGTCTTAATATAGTGCCAAATGGCATGTGTCGATTCACCTGGTGTTCCATCTGGTCGAGAATTTCGCTAGGAGATGGTGGTATGCGGATGATCCGCTAACGGTTCTGATGCTCTCTATTTTTCCTACCAATGTGGCTCCGCGAACAGTAAGGTTGGACGTTGAATCATTCAAACACTTATTGGATATATACACCAGGAGCTTGTAGTGGTCCAGGAAATCTGCACCAATTATTGGCTTGCTCACATCTACAACCACGAAATTCCATGTAAAATCCCGGCGTAATCCTAAGTTTAACACTAATGTCACTATCCCGTATATTGCAATCGTGGAGTTGTTAGCCGCTGAAAGTTCATACTTAAATTTACTCCTCGGGCCACGAATCAAATATCTAGGGTAAACACATACATCAGCACCCGTGTCTATTAAAAAACGTACCCTCGTGTTTTTATCCATAACAAATAAGCGGCGTGAAAAATTTTTAGAGTCGTCATTAGCCGCTACTGACGACCGTTGTCGTTTCCCTCCTGGAAGCTACACGGAGATCTACATCGATACGCGTTTGGACCAAAGGTATGGTGATACCAGCACAAACCACCCGGCAAATTACTATCTACACTTCGTGGACGTGAACGTGGACGTGACCGTGATCTCTGACGAAAGCTACGTTCCTCAGGTCTTCCTCTTGTTACAGCTCTGGTCTACTCGCAGTTTCAAACGCCTCCATTCTGGTTGTAAGATTATTCAGTAATCTCGTTATCTCTAACATCATGAACATTCCCGCTGCGGACGATGTTTCTTCCATTGCTTTCTGAGGTTGCGTCCCTTGTGCAACAATCGCATCTGCTGTTCTTGCCATCTGGTCCAATCCGACGTTCTCTTGTGCAGCTAAAATAGCACGTACATTAGAAGGTAACAGTTCCATCCAGAGCGTCTTGACGAAATCTTCCGGCACAGCTGTTCCGGTCAACTCTTTTAGATGACGTAAATATTTCGACGGCGCGCGGTCACCCATCTCTTCACGACTGAGCAATTGTCGTGTCTTCTGCTCTTGTGACTTGCATGCACGTTCAATCAATATATTCTTTAAATTTTCATATTTACCATCTGCTGGTGGATTACTTATCACGTCCTGCACTTCACGTATATGTTTCTCGTCCAAGCTGCTAACCACGCACGAATATTTGTTCAAATCCGCGGTGATTCCGGCGCCTTCAAAACAAGCTTCCATCATGACAAACCACAATCTTAAATCCCACGGCAAAAAAATCGGGCCACGAAAAACAGGTTGATCTCCTACTTTAATCTCCATCATGTTTACAATTAGATCACGTCGGGGTCACCAATTTAGAGAATCTTAGAAGAGACAACGGTAGTACATATATCACTTTCTTTAATCACAAAATTTCTCGCAGGCAACAGCCGGGGAGCACTAACTTGCAAAACACAAATCTACTTTGATCACGATCACAAGAGTAAAAAAGGAGCGAACATTATTGTACATGCCAACGCGGTTTTGCCGGAGAGTGAGCACCACAATACAAAAGATGAAATTATTCCTTGTTGCTAGAAATAATATTCTCCTTTGCAAGCAAGTATATTTCTTCCTTCAATTCTTGCAAATCACAATTGTATGTTTTAACATCTTCGAGATTCGTAAGATACATAAGATTTTCGAAGAATGCGATACCTTTCTCCATGCTCACGAGATCAGTATACAAATAATTCAAACGATCTAACAAATTCTGCTGCTCCTCCGTCACGACAACCTTCTCTTTCGGCTTCTCTAAACAGAAATTTCTCTTGCTCATGACTTCCTTCAGGGAATTCCTGAGAACTTCTTGCATTTCCGGGGTCGATCCTCCTAGGACTTCTTCTATAAATTTGTTGTCCTCCTCCTCCAGGAAGTTCATCAACGTATTACTCTTCCCTTCCAAGTATTCTACGACCTGACGAAGATGCTTGAATCGATAAATACTCGATCCCAGTCTATTTTCTAGGTAGTTGTACAACGTTCAAATCGAACCTCGAATTGTTTGTATTGATCATTGTTTTTCTTAAAGAAATTGATCAAATCGACCATATTCTCTATTTTCGTGGTGTGCAGATCATTATCTTTCGGTTGCTTGTGTGTCTCGCTTATACTCTCCATAGTCTTATGCACTTTCAAAATCATCAATTCAACGTCTTTCTCCAATTTAGGCAACATACTTGCGAAACCGTTTCGATTCTTACCATAGAGTTGTATGTATCTCTTAGTATCATTGCAATTGCAATCGAAACTATTGACCTTGATTATTGTGTTTAGTGTAAATTTAAGATCATACTGTATTTTCTCTAATTTATTCACCTCCGGCTGTTCCATAAATTGGATCATTTTCTCGCACTCTCCAATTAACTGAAAAAATAATAAACGATTAAATAAAATAAAATCACAGAAATAATTAGATTACTTACAGTGTATGCTGTGTGCAAATTGCAGTCGGTCGATTCTACACAGAACTGTTTTTCGGTGACAATCATCAATTTTTTGTGAAGATCCATCAAACGGGGAATAATTGTTTTCAACATATTTATTTTTTTTATCGAATACTCCTAAAACGAGATGTTTCCAGCAGTGTTGGCTTTTTGAATGTAATGAAGTCTACAGGGTTGCTCTTCAGGCAACCATTTTATTTCAACCACCTCTTCCACCTTATTTCCACCACCTCTTTCTAGTAGTTTTTGTATATATAGTAAAATGCATGGATACTACATTATTTGCTCACTTTCCAGAATTCAGTTATTTCACAATTTAATTTTATTGCCCTATATAAACTTCTACCCAAAGGTTCACTGTTACCCTGTTTTTAATGTTTAACTTAAAGCATTTACAAAATATTATTTCAACAAAGAACGATTTTTTTAGAAAAATGATATGTTATAATTTGTTTAATAACAAAAAGGTATCCGCAATATTCTCAATACTCCGTCTAGTATTAATGAAGAAAATAGTTTCAATCTACAGTCTACCTTTGATAGATAATTAACATTTTTAATTTATTTAAAATACATATTAGCATAAGTAATTTGCAATAATGTTGTTAAACTGTTAGACAGATTTAACGTACACATGGACTATTTTATTTGAAAAACAGTAATTATTATAAAATTAGAAATGAGTGTCCATATTATTTTTTTGTCTAATTTAAATATATTGTAAATATTGTATTAATTTCAATACGCCATCTATTATTAATTAACAA